AGGTCGGTCTCCCAGCCACGCTTGGGGTCGGCGCCTGCCTCACCGCCGCCCGCAGGGAGGAGCTCGTCCGCGCAGGTGGGCTGGGGACTGGGCGGTGCGCGAGGGGGTTGGCTACGCTGGAGGGGGAGGGGGCGGGAGGATATGGCCTGTGAGGATGCAGCGCAAATGGATTGGGGGATGGGCTGGGGGTGCGGGGGCCTAGATAGAGGTTTGGCTGCGGAGCCAGTGCAGTGGAGGATGAGGCAGCCAGGGGAAGGTTGGGGGCATGGATAGGTCAGTCCTGGGTTAGAATGTGTTTTTAGGCTGCATTCAGTGGTGCACTCTAGCTCCCATTGAACCACTGTCCGCTTGGTCTGATCAGCTAGTGAAAGTGGGGTTATGGAGTGGCCCCAGAGGTGAAAGTAAGCCAGTAAGGTATGGCGTGCTGGACTGGCTTCCCCTGGCTGGCGATATAAAGCCCCACCCCCTTCCGGTTGAGGCCCCGCCCCTTGCTCAGGACTCTGGCATAGCCGTCCTTTAAGTTACTTTCACCCGTGGCCCAAAAGTAGCTGGAGCATACCAGTGAATCCTGCACCAGATGGGGTAGGATCAAACCTTATACAAACAGCATGTGTATCCTAGAAGTACTTAGAAGATATTATAGCTGTTGGTGAAGTATTGTGGGGTGACCTGGGAAGGCTAGGCTATGCTAACTGTGAGGAGAGGTAGAGGGAAACCAAGGGATAACTTTAAATTTTTAGAACATGATAAAAGAAAACCCCAAAATTGTACCAGGAGCATAAGTAATATAGACCATTGCCAATGCCTTACTATTTATAATAAACTATATATCTCGAACTCATTAACTTTTGTGAACTTGTACATGCTGTGCCGTTAGTACCAAATGCATTTTTATTAACAAGAACAAAAGATTACAATATGTATTGTCACTTCAGAGAAGAATCAACTTTTCTCTCCTTAGCTGTAAGTCCATCTCCATTCTTGCTGTCCTGTTCTTTTCTTCTCTTCAGCTTGAAGTGTTCCTTAGGTTTGATGTTCCTGTGGCTGTACCTCTTTGCACCAAGTTTATCCACAAACGGGTGTTTCTTAACCTATGGGCCCTCACTTGTCCATTAGACACCTTTGAACTGTATTCCATCAATAGATGTTCAAAGAAGGGTCATTCTCACTGTTCATGTACTCCAGGTCCTTTTTGGGTGGACTTATCATTACTGCTTCTAGGATCTGGGTGCATCTAACACAGCTATTTGATCAATTCCCTTTTTCACCAGTTATATTTCCTTTCATTTTTTCCCCCCTTGATACTCTCTCTGGGAAGTCCGCAGATTTTATTTCCCTCTACTTCCCTTCTCTAATAGCATCTGCTCACATTGCGAGTATTTCTTTTCCTGCTTATCCTGACCTGAAACTTTTTCTTTTTTTCTTCTTTCCTCCTCACTTCCCAGTCTGCTACTTTTATTCTCCTGTTATCACCTCCTCTCCTACCTAGGTTCCATTTCACCCATAGCACCTTCTCCTCTAACAGCTATTTTCCAACTGCCCCTTCTGGTGGATTCTGAGCTCCCTCCCAAGCTTGAGTGGCCTTCTCCTTGGCTGTTTCCCCAGGATAGCATTCTGTGCTGCTGCAGATATTAGACCAGGGTGAGGGTTACTACACTTGCTCTCTATCTAGGTCAGGTTACATTTTTGTGATATGGAAGCAGACAAGCCATAAGTGCCTGACTTAGACAGTAATGCAGGGGTAGACAACCTATGGCACGGGTGCTGAAGGCGGCACACGAGCTGATTTTCAGTGGCACTCACACTGCCCGGGTCCTGGCCACTGGATGGGGGTCTCTGCATTTTAATTTAATTTTAAATGAAGTTTTCCAAACATTTTAAAAACCTTATTTGCTTTACATACAATAGTTTAGTTATATATTATAGACTTATAGAAAGAGACCTTCTAAAAACGTTAAAATGTATTACTGGCAAGCGAAACCTTAAATTAGAGTGAATAAATGAAGACTTGGCACACCACTTCTGAAAGGTTGCTGACCCCTGCAGTAATGTAAAATGAACTAGGTATCATGATCTTTGAAAAGTGCTGAGGATGTAGTTATAATAGGGCTTAATTAGTTTCTGTGACACAAAGACAACATTGTCACAAATAGACCACTTTTGAAAACACTTGTTTGCATTTGGTACCCAGCCACATGATTGGTAACTGCAAAGCAAATGTTGTTTGTGCTCAAATTTCACGTTTTACATGGGAAAACTTGTTGGAATCAAGGGGTCAGAGACAACTCAACTTAAGCCTGTGTGTGTTGGGTCGAGTGTGTTTTCAGACCCAACCTGAATGCGATACTTGTAGTTGGGTCCTGTCTGGTTCAGGTCAGATTGCAAGGTTCAAGACACTGGTACTTTAAACAAAGCACTAGATTTTATGTAGCTGGGAAAGACCAGGTACCAAATCATAAATTGCAGCCCTAACCTCCCCATATACTTCCAGAATCTCAGTGAGAAGCCCTGACTAACTCAAGCAGAGAAGATGCTATACTTGGCCCCACTGCAACTGATTATCTGTAATTATGCAATTTAATCTGCGGGAGTCCAACATGCTCCTCCAAGCTGCCACAGGCTTCCTCTTTCCTGGCATAAGGTCCTTTAGTAACCAAGAGACAACTCTGGATGTTTATCACAGTCACCAGATTAACCATTTATTAACTAGATAATAAAGAAAACGTTTAGACATAAAATGGGCAGATACTGAATATATTACAGTGCCACCGTATACATGGGAAGATCTCCCCAAGTGTTCATTTCTAGTCACCCTAATAAAAGATTCAGTAGAAATAAACTGGGTTCAGAAAGTGGCTGATGATTAACAGCCTGGAGAGGCTGCCTGAGACTGTTTACCTTAGAGTATAGCTCTCTTGCAAACTGATTGGAGAAGAAAAGGTAAAATTACACTTTCCCACATTAAAAAATAAGGGGTAATCCTGACATTCAAATTTAAAATTTACAGAGGAACTACTTTTAACCCAAACATAATTAACTCATATCCATCCTGAAGACCTATTTCTTCCACAACACTTACAAGAAACCAGATGACTAAGCCTTCTGCTTGCTTATTTATTTATTAAATGTAAATGATGTGAGGAGGTATTGAATGGTGGAAAATAGGAAGGGGAACTTCATGTGATTATCTTAAATATAAAAAAATCTCAACAGCAAACATGCAATTACTAATCTATCTCCAACCCCCTCACTTGGCTTGTACAGCCTGATCTAGCTGTATCCTCAACCTTGGTCTGCCTTTGTACACTTTTTTGTGTGTGACTGTACAGAAAGACTCTTTCTGTGTTTGGGTGCTATCACAAAAAACAGTTACCTACCGCTCGTAACTGTTAGTCTTAGAGATGTGTTGTTCATGTCCATTCCGAGTAGGTGTATGCGTGCCGCATGCGCAGTTGCTGGAAGACTTTTCCCCTAGCGGTACCGGTTGGCTCAGGCGCCCCCTGGAGTTGCACCTTCATGGCACTGCATATAGGGCCCTGCCGACTCGCTGCCTCTTGCCAGATTACTCTGAGGGGAAGGCAGGTGGGTCTTGGAATGGACATGAGCAACACATCTCAAAGAACAACAGTTATGAGAGATAGGTAACTGTTTTTTCTTCTTCGAGTGCTTGCTCATGTCGATTCCAAGTAGATGACTCCCAAGCTTTACCTAGAAGGCAGGGTCGGAGTTCATGAAATCACTGATTGAAGCACCGCTCTGCTGAATGCTGCATTGTCCCTGGCATGCTGGGTAATGGTATAAAGCGAAGTGAGGGTGTGAACTGAGGACCATGTTGCCGCTCTACAGATCTCCAGGATTGGGACCTGGGTCAGGAAAGCCGCCGAGGAGGCCTGTGCTCTAGTAGAATGTGCTATCAGTGTGGGGGCAGGTATCTTTGCTAAATTGTAGCCTGCTTGGATACAGGACGTGATCCATGATGATATCCTTTGAGAGGACACCGGGAGGCCCTTCATCCTGTCCGCCACTGTGACAAACAGCTGGTTTGATTTACGTCGAACGTCCAAGGAGTGGAGCTTCTGCTCCCGGCTGTTAGCATGAGGCTTTAGGGAAAAAATGGAGAAAAATGTCTTGGTATGAAATTGTGAGACAACCTTAGGGAGAAAAGCTGGGTGTGGCCAAAGCTGCACTGTATCCTTGTAAAAGATGGTATAAGAAGGGTCAGATGTGAGGGCCTTGAGCTTGGACACCCTTCTAGCTGAAGTTATAGTGATCAGGAAAGCCACCTTCCAGGACAGATAGAGTAGTGAGCATGTCACTATGGGCTTGGATGGAGGCTCCATCAGCCTCGAAAGCACCAGATTAAGGTCCCAAGCTGGGGTCGGTTGCCGAACTTGTGGGTATAACCTGTTTAGTCCTTTAAGAAAATGACACACCATCAGGTTAGCGAAGACCAAGTGGCCTGCCTCTCCTGGGTGGAACGCTGAGATGGCGGCAAGGTGAACCTTTATTGATGAGAGCGACAAGCCCTGCTGCTTTAAATGTAGCAGGTAGCCCAAGATAAAGGGTATTGATGATTGCGTTGGAGAGGTACGACTCTGCGAACACTAGATCGAGAATCTCTTGCACTTGTTCAAGAAGGTGGACCTGGTGGATGGTTTCCTACTGCCAAGGAGAACCCCCCTAACAGGATTGGAACATGTGAGTTCTACCAGGATTAACCATGCAGCTTCCAAGTTGTGAGGTGTAGAGATTCAAGATTGGGATGCTGAAGCAGCCGTGATGCTAGGTGATCAGGTCCGTAACTAAAGACAGGGTGATTGGGGTGTCCACTGAGAGCTCCAGCAGCATGGTTTACCAGTGCTGGCGGGGTCAGGCTGGTGCTACCAGTATTAGTGAGGCTTTGTCCCTCCGGATCTTGAGGAGGACTTTGAACAAGCAGAATAGGTGGGAACACGTAGAACAGGTGGGCCTTCCAGGGAAGAAGGAAGGCATCTGCAAGTGAGCCGGGACTGTGATTCAGGAAGGAGCAGAACAGAAGGCACTTCCTTTTGCTCTTTGTGGCGAACAAGTCCATC